TTAATAATACGTGGAATATTAGAGGAGACGAGACGGCTGCCGGCATTGTTTATGTTAAAGCTTACGAAACCAGTGACTGATTGGTTCTACATATAAAACTGAAGAAAATAAGACCCTGAGTTTAGCTGTAGTAAAATTCATGTAAAATATGAATATGGTTGCTTGAAGTACCTGTACTGTTATTTAATGTTAATTAATGGAACAATATATGTAGCTAACCATTAATGGTAAAAAAAAAGTGAGACTGCTCGTATGTAAGTGCGCACATGTGAAAATATATCGTCATTACTCTACATAAGAATATGAAAGCAACACTTATTTACTGCTCATATATATTGAAGGGTTAAATGTTGTACTCTATAGACAAGCAGAGAGAGAGAGAGAGAGAGAGAGCAGCCGAACTGCCGGATGTAAACAAACCTTAATTTCCCTTGACTTTGTTGTTTGTTTTTTTTAAGGGGATTAGCCCACCCGGGCACAGGTCCCTGACCGACATTGGGGCCTGAGGGGCAAAAATTTAATACTCCTGTAATAATAATAATAATTCAGATAAAAAAAAAAAAAAAGCTGCCAATCTACCTATTGGACAAACTAAAATCGTTCCGGACCACAGAATGCCGGACTAGAGAGGTACAACCTGTATAAGCCTCTGGTGTACTTTTTTTTTTAAATGTTGCAACCATATGCATGTGTCTTCCCAGGACTGTACAGGTTAGACCCTGCTAATCCAGGACCCGATGGTCTGGCAGCTTCAATGGTTCGGGAGGCATATACAGCCATGTGTCGCTTTATGTCTATCCGATCGCATATACGTCCGTGGCCCATAAAAATAATAAGAAAATAATGGGGATAAAAAAAACCCGTTCAGACAATGGGACGTAGCGGACGTAAGTGGCCTTAGAGCGGGCGCGCTTATGCATGCATCACATGTTCTTAAACAAAATAGATTGTGCTGCCAGGCGTATGATGATACAGTACAGTAACTATGCAGTCATGCGCCGGTTAACATCCAACCGAACAACGTCCGATCGCATATACGTCCACCCCCCCAAAAAAAACCACTTCCGTGACGCCTGCTGGACCACCACTCCACGACCCCCTGAAGGAGACACGATGATCCTCCCCATACTGGCCAGATATTATGTGTTAAAGGAATATCTTTCCTTCCTTAGGCATTTGCATCCAGGTGTAATGTTAACCTTCACCTATTGAGGATAAAATCTTTCACCTAGAAATTGACAATAACACATTTGCTGTAATCAAACATATCTAGTTGCCTCAACAATTGCAACCCCAGTTGCAATTGGGGTTGCAATTTCAAATTCTATGTCATTACTAAGGAATAAATAAGTTTCTGGTGCATTCTTAGATTAAGAGAAAACGGAGGAGTCAGGCGTCCTGAAGCGAGAGAAAACGGACTCCTATGACGGGGCACTCAAATAAAGAGAGACATGGCTACATGTTTTGTGGACTACCCACTGTACAGTATCCTTTTCATAACTTTGTAATAAACCTAGTCATGCCTGTAATGAGACACATCTCACAAGAAGAAGATTACATATAGGTAGAATATTGATAGTAAGAGAAATGTTAAGAGAGGAAGACTATGGTAGCGTGGCCGTGTTAGTTATTTGAACTGAACTTACACTTATCTTAATGTCAATACACATCTATTACGTTCTTAAGGACGACTTCTCAAACACCGCTTCGTTACAACTCTTTATTAATTACGACAATGACACGGACACATTAATAACACCTTCTATTGAAGTTACTAGGACATTATATTTACGTTACTAGGACATCATATTACGTTACTAGACACTCTGATTCTCGGACACGAACATGAAATGAATACACTTCCCACGTAAGTAACTCATCCCATGGAAAGCTCTGACAAAAACTCACGTGACCTAGGGGAGGCCTAGCAGGTGGTCCTGGGTTGTCTCTATGGGTAGACTGCTTAGCTGGGCACCGGAGGGAAGTCTTGCGTGACTCTCCTCCTGTGAGCGGGACTGGGCTGTGGTGGACCTCCTCCGATCCCTGTGTGTCTCTCTCTCCCTCTCTCTCGCCGCTCCCCTGAGGGAGGGCTATGAGCGGGACTGGGAATGTCGTAGCTGGCCCTTCCTTGTTACAAGACACACTCTCCCGCTCTCTCTCTCGCGGGAAGGTTACGACGTCCTATATATTGGGAAACCAGCCGTCAGGTTGAGCTGATCGGGGGGGGGGGTCTCCTACATTTGCCCTCGCTAATGTTGGGTCAGGTCTGGACTTTTTCAGAGACTTCAAGTTGTTGTAAATTCTGGAGAAATCTTCAGATGAATGCTTGTCTGTTAACATCGTTGGTGGGGCCGTGTGACATGAGAGGCCCTGGTTGATTTGTGGCCCCTTGACTTGGGCTCGAGGGTTACATTTTACCTGGTTAATGTGAAGATAGGTCTGGGCCTTGTCTGAGATGCACTGTAGTTGTGTATATTGGGAGAGGGTCGGCAGGTGGTTTCTTACATGTTTGTTGGGGCCGTGTGACATGGGAAGGGGAGCTAGTTGATTTGTAACTCCTTGAGTGGTTACCCTTACACTTGACCCTCCTAATGTCGGGTCAGGTCTGGACTGTTTCTGAGATGTAAGCTGTGGTCTGACAACCCATCACTACGTGCCTATGTGTGTTTCTGATAATTACCAAAACATTATATCTTTAGTGGGTCTGAATGAAAGCGGTTGTACAAACACAAGCACTCACACATGCCACTCAGACTGACAGACTTGACAAGTTTTACCAACCATAAAGACAGTTGAAGCTTTAAACATCACTCACAATGGATCTTGAATATTCCAACTGTAATCAGACATATCTAAGTTGCCTCAACAATTGCAACCCCAGTTGCAATATCAAATTCTGTGTCATTACTAAGGAATAACGAAGTCTCGGGTGCACTCTAAGATTAAGAGAAAACGGAGGAGTCAGGTGTCCTGAAGTGAGAGAAAACGGACTCCTATGACGGGGCACTCAAATAAAGAGAGACATGGCTACATGTTTTGTGGACTACCCACTGTACAGTATTGAGCGTATCCTTTTCATCACTTTGTAATAAACCTAGCCATGCCTATTGCCTGTGTGTTTATGATATTTACCATAACATTATACAGGTGCTCCCCGACTTACGACGGGGTTAGGGACCCAAATCCTGGTCGTAAGTCTGACATAGATAAAAAAATTAAAAATTAAAAAAAAAAAATCTACAATGAAATACAGTCCAGTAAAAGTAATAAATAATGAGGAATGGATACAGTACAGTAAAAGTAATAAATAATGAGGAATGGATACAGGAGGAGACAGGGCTGGGTGGGTCATCAATGTCGCTTCCTTCAGACAGGTTTATGTGCTGTGGAAACTTGCTGGTTGAAGGTATTGGATCATCTTGAGGGAGTGAAGAGGCAGCACTGGTGGGGCGTGAGGAGACAGCACTGGGGGACTTATTAAAATAGATGTCCAATTTAGACTGCACAGTTTGCTTTTTCTTTTCATTATAAATTTCTCTGTAGCAAGCAAGTGCATCTTGGATTGTTCTGTCAACTTTGGCATAACGCTCATAATTTTGATCCATGCCATCAAACATTTGCATTCCTTTATTAATTGTAGCAAATGCCTCTGCCATTTGCTTCACTGAAAACTTTTTGGGGGGTGCAGGTCCTTCTTCTACATTTAGACTGGCTTCTTCCTCTGCATCTTTGTGTGCTTCCAGTTCGATGAGATCTTCATTACTGAGCTCTTCTGCTACACTCAACCAACTGTTCAACATCTTCATTATCAATTTGTAACTGAAGCTGTTTACCTAACTCCACTATCTTGTTACTAATATCCGAAATTGCTTCATTTTCATTAAATCCTCTAAAACTGTTCACATATCTTTTCAGGATTTTCTTCCATATTCCATTCATGCAATGTTTTGTAACCTGATCCCATGCTGCACTAATGTTCTTTATACATGACAAAACGTTGTACTGCTTCCAAAACTCTCTGAGCGTTTTCTCACCTTCAGTAGCAGCAACAGCCTGAGCGAAGGTCGTACGTAAATAATAAGCTTTAAAGGCAGCAATAGCACCTTGATCCATGGGTTGGATGACAGAGGTAGTGTTAGGTGGAATGTACACTCCCTTAACATCAGGGTGCAGACCAGTTATCTAAAATAATGTTAAATATCTGAACTATCAAAATGAAAATGATTTCAAGGCATTAGCACTTCAGAGAGGGTGTTGGAAAATTTGTTATATTTATCATAAAAGTTCGATATAAATTCGCTCTTATACACGCACAGTCCGGGGGGAGGTAAGACGGTCAAGGGAACCAATCAACTATTTGTAGCTATAGACGAGGGGCGGGATGTATGGGCCAGCTTAGCGTGGAAAGGGTATGTAGTTTATTAGAAAAAAAGCTGAAGCAGCACATTCCCTGATCTGATTTGAGAGTTCTAGTTGTTGCAGGAAAATGTGAAGTTGCCTGGGTAGGAGAAGCTGATGATGTTTACTGTCTGGCTTCAGAAATTAATTTCATATACAGTCTTCCATTTTGTTAGCCATAAATTAGAGTAATATCTCTTGTGGGGATGTAATTTTGTTGTTTGATGAGGGCTACTTTTGAATTACTGGTTTATCTAGTTATTTCTTTTTAATTTATTGCTTTGATGGGAAGAAAGCTGGTGGCTTCTTTAAACCCCCCATTGTTCCTGATGAGATTCCTTCACTGCCAGTGTTAGTACTGAACTGGAGCTATAATGCCAGGTGTGGTTGCTGATTATGTTGATGTATGGTTTAGACTATTCTTTGTCTTTTAACTATTGAACTGTGTCTATAGATGGAGTTTTATTAATTTTTTATCTTGTAACCATTAACTTTCTCCCCAAAAGTTAAGGTGGATTGTTAAGAGATTTCTTAATGACTCGTTAGTGACATGTGTAGTATTAAACGATATGTTTTGTTTTACTTTTCTCTATTTCTTTCAGGACCTCCAGGATGTTGGGTGGTCTGTTTATATATAACCATAAGGGGGAGGTGCTCATATCCCGTGTATATCGGGATGACATTGGACGTAATGCAGTGGATGCATTCCGAGTGAATGTGATTCATGCACGACAGCAAGTGCGCTCCCCTGTCACAAACATTGCACGAACCAGTTTCTTCCATATAAAGGTGAGAATCTGACCAAATTTCATTATAATAACCTGTTTTGTTTGTAAAATAATGTTTACTTGAATTAAAAGTAACTCGGGGCTTTCGTATCCCAAGGGCTAATTAAAATTTTTAGCCGCTTGGGGTTTTCATATGCTAGGAGTGTATGAAAGGTTGTGGATAAAAGTGTTGGGAAATTAATGTTTCCTTGGTCCTTCACATGCTCTTGGTATTCACTGAGCGTTTGGTGTTGCCGGGTGCCCTCATACGCCTGCCAGTAGTGTTTGCTGCACCCTGCTCAGTCTCGGGTGTGATACGCAATGCGATTTTGTATAGAAATTATGTTTTGGCGGGTGGGGAGGGGGGCTGTTATTGTTTACAGTTTCTTGATTAACTACTCAGGGTCACTTTGGTGAAACAATGGTAATTTAGCGTGATTACAACTCCTTTTATATACTCCATTGTAAAACTTTTTTTTTTATTCAACATACTGTAGTGTCCAAAATTTTTTTTCAGAAAATTTGATTGAAAAATCTTTTGGATCATTCATTCTTGATCCTTATACTGGGCTTTAATTTCATGCTTTGATAAACAATAAAATTGATACATAGCTTATCATAAAATAAAATAGCACATATTTTATATAAAAAAATAGCTCCTTCCATACTCAAACCATCCTCTGGGTGATACGACACAGTTCAACTATCAGCCTAGTAATCAACCAACTTACTCTGAGATGTATGTATGTTGTGACGTCACAGCAGGGGGAGGGAGTGCGGGCTGGGTAGGTGTCAACTGGGGAGTCGGTGGTGCATTTATTTATTTATATAAATATTTATTTACGTATTTATTTATTTATTTTATTATATTTATTTATTTTTTATTTTTTTTTACGGGATTAGCTCACCTGGGCACAGGTCACTGACCCACATTGGGGCCTGGGGGGCGAAGATGTAATACAGTTGAGTCTGGATTTACACGGTTTTTGTTTATGCGTTTGGTCATTTACGCCTCACCTTGCCAGAATGAAAGGTTTTAATTACAGTGACCCCTCCGTTAACGAACTCAATCCGTTCCAGAAGGTCGTTCGTTAACCGAAAAGTTCGTTAACCGAAACCATTGTTTCAATGGGTTTTTGGGTAATTGGTTCCAGCTCACCGAAAATTTCTTAAATTCAACAAAAATGGTAGAAAAGTTCACTTACTTTGAGGTGTGTATGTAGAAGGCTCCTGGACGATGATGATGATGATGGGATTTAGAATGGGGGTGGAGGAGAAGGAAGAAGAGAAGGCATTGGGGTGGAAGAGAAGTCACCCCATGGCGCCATTTCACCCATAAAATTTTAGCCCTCTTGGTATAATTCAAGATTATTTTCTTTAAATCAACACTGCACTGCATTATATATTGTCAATATGTAAAATATATTTCAAAATGACCAATAATTTGCTTGGAAACACAGAAAAAAGCGTTTAGTTGAAGAGAGTCTCAAGCAAGATGTTACCTCCAGTGAAAACAGAGAGAGACTAACTCCTGTTTGCTGTGTTAAGAGGCTGGATGCCGCACATTAAACTAGTCACTTTACCTTCAATTATGTTCAATAATTGTTAAAATGACTAAAAAATTGAATATTAAACTTTTAAAATTATTGAATAGTATAAACTTCTTGATATTTACTAAAATAGTAAGGAATTTAAGCCCTAGAACCGATTAATGTATTGGCGGACTGATACTAAAGCTGGTTGCCCGGTCAGTGCAAGCGAAAACATGTTGAGGTCGGTTTGTAAGAACTTCGTTAACCGAATTTTTTTTCATTAACCGAATTGAAGATCCTTATGGAAGGCAGTTCGTTAATCGAAATTACGTTAACCGGGGTGTTCGTTAAACGAGGGGTCACTGTACGCGGTAAATTTCATTATTTACGCGGGTGAAGTATAATTTGTTTGTTTACTGAAGATATATATGTTTTTTGCTCATTAGATGTGTTTGAAGTCCTGTGTTGGAAGATCTCACCATCCAATGGAAGGAGGGTCGGTTCTACCATGACATCCCGGCAGATTTCCTTAAACATATTTGCTGTGAGGTCCCTTACCTCGTCATGCCTCATGCATATGAAGCCCCCCTTCTTGCACGCCATGGCATGATCGCCATCATAGGAAGAGCCACACACGCATTGGGAGGGCAAACCTTCTACTGGCTGACCGTACCTTAGAGCAATGGCATTTGTAAATTCTTGTTTATTAAGACTGAAACCATTTGCCCTTATCGGTAACGTAGTTAACCAGTTCGAGGCGCCCACCTCCTGTGCTATAGCTACTTTTTTCAAATTTTCTGGTACCTGCAGCAACAGTTGCTGCAACTTATCATTTTGGCAGTGCTGTCGATCTGTCGTAATGGACCTACGAATCTTATTTACTTCACTGGTATCCACTTCCCCTGTTGCATTCTGGGCTATTATGTGGTCCGTGAAGGCTGCCGTAAGCTTAAGTGAATTTTGATGTTCAGTGGCAGCAATCTCCTCTGGATTTGTTAGTCCCATCCCTCCCAGTCTTGATGGAAGTGCAAGAAGTGCTCTTTCTGCTGGGGTTAAGTCAGGGTGTTTCACTAATTTAGGAATGAAAATGACACTGATAACTTCTTCCAGAGGGTGGGGGAGGGGTCCGATATCAGGGATAGTACGCATCAGGTAGTTCCAGCGATGCTTGACTCCATGGGTGAATGCAGCAAAGGCCGCATGTGGCTGTGTGTTAGCAATCTCAGACAGAGCTTGGATTTCACTAACCCACTCATTCACCTTTCCCGCTACGTACTCGGTCTTGAAGTCCGCAGTGCCAATTACTGCGCCTAGATGTCTTTGGCCGTCCGTAGTTATTTTGACCTCGCTTCCGCCAAAAACCTCCATTGCCCGTTCATAATGTTCTGGCTTCACGATGAGGAAGGACTTGCTGGCGTTTGGGTGGTACCCTATTTGTGGACCTCGCGATGTTACCAAGTCCCACCACTTTTTGATGCCCTCCACTTTTCCTGCTCCTGTAAGGTCGTCAGCATATGCCACTTGTTTGACCCCAGTTGTTTCAAATTTTATTTCTTGTTGGAGCACTGATAGGCCAATTGCATACATTGCCATTGCAACAGGGTCCCCCTGTGTTGTTCCCTCGGTTGACTGTAAGATGGTATCACCTCTTAGAGCCTTGTTGTTTACTACATAGAGGTCTACTACTACTACTTTTTTTTTTTTTTAATGAACGTGGCCTCCAGCCTCCCCCAATAGCCACACCTTCGCCACCATTTAATTACCTTAATATTAAATATCCTAATACATAAGTAGCTATCCTATCTGTGTTAAATTAGTTGAGCCGCAGATCTATGCGGCATTCAGTGACAGTAGCCTCATAGTCAATATCTGCAGCAGTTGTCGGAGTTGGGGCAGAAGCTCTCGTTCCCCTGAGGCAGAGCAAAGCCGACCGAAGGAGAGAGAAAGACAGTCGACATCTCATCCAGGCTGTAACATAACTTCTGGGCTGCTGCTTCTGTTCGGAGATCACCTCCGCGAGTCTGGCGTAGAAACATCTTGCACTTGGTCCCATCCCACTAGAGGTTGTGAACACTAGAGGAGTGAAGCTGCCTTGATCAACGTTTTGAACTCTCTCCCCATATGCCCTTCTCTTGTCGTTCTCGTTCCTCATATGTGCAGCATCGAGAGCTAGGTTACGGTGACATGCGGCCATTGGATAAAAAATCCTGATGTCGAAGAAAGCTCGCTGTCCCCGCGTCCAGAATCCTCGAGCACTGACGTCCACACGGGCTTCGTTAGATGTGTTTGAAGTCCTGTGTTGGAAGATCTCACCATCCAATGGAAGGAGGGTCGGTTCTACCATGACATCCCGGCAGATTTCCTGAAACATATTTGCTGTGAGGTTCCTTACCTTGTCATGCCTCATGCATATGAGGCCCCCCTTCTTGCACACCATGGCATGATCGCCATCATAGGAAGAGCCACACACGCATTGGGAGGGCAGACCTTCTACTGGCCGACCGTACCTTAGAGCATTGGCATCTGTAAATTCTTGTTTATTAAGACTGAAACCATTTGCCCTTATCGGTAACGTAGTTAACCAGTTTGAGGCGCCCACCTCCTGCGCTATAGCTACTTTTTTTATAATTTTCTGATACCTGCAGCAACAGTTGCTGCAACTTATCATTTTGGCAGTGCTGTCGATCTGTCGTAATGGACCTACGAATCTTATTTACTTCACTGGTATCCACTTCCCCTGTTGCATTCTGGGCTATTATGTGGTCCGTGAGGGCTGCCGTGAGCTTAAGTGAATTTTGATGTTCGGTGGCTGCAATCTCCTCTGGATTGGTTAGTCCCATCCCTCCCAGTCTTGATGGAAGTGCAAGAAGTGCTCTTTCTGCTGGGGTTAAGTGAGTGTGTTTCACTAATTTGGGAATGAACTTGACATTGATAGCTTCTTCCAGAGGGTGGAGGAGGGGTCCGATATCAGGGATAGTACGCATCAGGTAGTTCCAACGATGCTTGACTCCATGGGTGAATGCAGCGAAAGCCACATGTGGCTCTGTGTTAGCAATCTCAGACAGAGCTTGGATTTCACTAACCCACTCATTCACCTTTCCCGCTACGTACAGTGGGGTATGCTATAACGAACGGATCCTACTACGAATATTCCTATAACGAACGGTTTTACCTATAAAATTGAGAATGCTATAACGAACGAAACTCCTACAACGAACATTATTTAAATTTTTTTTTTCTAATTTATTGTTTTTTTATTACAAATATTAATGATATTCTTTATTTCAGGGGTTTAGATGCATATTTATGCACTTTTTTACAATTTTTACAATTTTATATTATAATTTTCAGTGTTAAGTGGTTGTATTTGGGGGCCTGGAACGGATTAATCATATAACGAACGAATGCTATAACGAACAAGGTTCTAGAACCAATTAGATTCGTTATAGCATACCCCACTGTACTCGGTCTTGAAGTCCGTAGTGCCAAT